TGGTGGAAATGTACAACCACTTTGGAAGACAGTTTGGCAGTTTTTTACAAAACTAAAAATACTTTTACCATATGATCAGCAATCATACTTCTTAGTATTTATCCAAATGAATTGGAAACTTATGTCTACATAAAAATTTGCATATAAATGTTTATACCAGCTTTATTCATAAGGTGAGTAGATAAACTGTGATGCATCTAAACAATGGAATATTATTCAACACTAAAAAGAAATGAACTGTCAAGCCATGAAAAGACATAGAGGAACCTTACATGCATATTACTAAGTCAGAGAAACCATAAATAATAATAACATTTTTGCCATATTTACTGTTTTGTTATAGAAATTTTCATATGCAAAGCAGATGGAATAATCTCCATGTACCCATCATCCAACTTCAACAATTACCAACATTTTAGCTCCTTCATTTATTTCCCCCTACCTTTTGGGGAAAGTGTCTTAAGTATTTTAAAGCAAATTATATACATCATATAATCTCACCTGTAAATATATCAGTATGTATATTTAGTAGTTAAGGATTTTAAAAAATGATCTCCTACTATTTTGATAACTAAAAAGTTAATAATTTCTTATTTAATTTTCCTCCATTGTCTCAGAACTGTCTTTTCACAATTGGTTTGTCTAAAACAAGATCCAAGCAAGGAATACACATGGGATGTAATTATGTCTCTTAAGCCTCTTTTATGCTACAATAGTACTTACCTTTTTTTTTTAATACCATGTGTTTATTGAAGAAATAAGAAATTACCCACATTCTGAATTTGACTTATTACATCCTTGGGTATTGTTTAACATCTTTCCCTATCACCCATTTTTCCTATAAAATGATAGTTATATCTTGTAACGGGATTAGATTTGGGTTCAGTTTTTTGGTGTTTTTGTTTGTTTGTTTGTTTTTGCAATGATACCTCATAGGTGGTGCTTTGTACTTTGTATTGTATCACATCAAGAGGTACATAAAGTTTTTATTCGTGATGCTAGAATGATCTGTAGGTTCGGGTACTGTCAACCTGATCATAAATTTCCCCACCTAAAGCAGTGTTTCAAATATTCTCTTCTGTACAGTAATATCACTTGAAGGTCTCAGACCAAATAAATCAGAATCTTTGGGGGTTAAGAACCTGGGCAGCAGTGTTCTTTCAATGTTTCTCTATGTAATTCTAATGGTCACTTAAGGTTGAGAAATACCTGCATAATTATTTTAGTAGCTAAGACGATTGTTACCTTAGACACATGAGATTTTCTGATTTGATACTCCTTCATTCATTAGCTGGAATTCTTTTATGAAGAAAAGCTTTCCCTCATCAACTATTTGATTACTTCGAAATTTGGAAGGGCAGGATCAACTCTTGATTCTTGCCACATATCAATGATGCTTGTTTTGTTTTGGGAATATCATTATGAACATTTTCTATATTTGACATGTTTTAAGACTTTGCAGTCATTATTTATTTATATCTTTTGATGCTTAAATTTTCCCATTTTTTGTCCAGTTGGCTTTGTTCCTGTGTCCTTGATCTTTGATTTGATAGCTTTTTTGCTCTCTGGCACAAAGACTTATGTGGTACCTTATTTATACCAGACCTGGAATCAACCATTTTACCCAGGTGTCCAAGTTTCTTTTACTGAAAGTGATATTTAAAAATATCAGTTTGGGCAATAGGCATGCTTATTGCTACTGAATTAACAGGGTATCTAGATCTTTTCAGTAAAAATATGTATTTTTGTGAGAAAATTTGAGTTTATATTGATATTTCCAGAATAAATGTAATATTGTAGAGTTTCTCATGAAGTTCTTTGATTTTATGTGCCTAGTATCTTTCCCCCCTGAAAATCTTGGTTCCTAATGATAATAAAACCATTACTTATTTGCTTTATCCTGCCAAACATGTTTTTTCTGATATACATACACATATATACATGAAGAGAGTATATTTCAAAACAATATCAATAGTTTCAAAGCAGTGATACCATAATAAAATTATTGAATGCAGTTTAAGATTTATTTGTGTTTCTTTTTCTTCATGGTTATATTTTACCAGGAAGGTACAGTGCAAATATCAGATTTAAATTATCTTGAAATATCTTTTCTCTGTATATTTAAGACACCTACAGCTTGATGTAAACTTTGTATATTTGCTTTCAATTTTTAGGGACTATTTTTTTTAAACTAAATTGTTTAAAATTATATAAAATATTTACATAGTTTCAAAATCAGAATTTTCAGATTTGTCTTTAAAAAAAATCAGGTTTTTTTGCCCTTTAAACCCCATAATACAAGGTACATTTTGAGAAGTCTGGCTTCCCTTCTTGTCTCCTTTCCTTTTTCTTCTCTCCTCCTATAGGTGACCATTTTAATTAGATTTTATTTTATCTTTACATTCTTTCTTTTTGAAAATAAAAGCAAAATGTGCATGTATGTGTATACTTAGCAATACATTATTAAATACAACTTCTTTTAAAGCTAATCATACATTGAAAGTGTTTCTGGTTTCCAAAGTACTCAATATACATTGAGTGCTCCCAAGTTCCTTATGATAGACCTTTTAAATTGACAAAACAAGCAATATTACCCCTATTTTATATAAGGAGACCCTATGGCCCAGATAACTTAAGATTTAACATTACTAGATATGTAAGTGGCACAGCTAGAACTAGTGCCCAGGTAGTGTGCTGTGGTGGTTAGGATAACAAGTTCTGCCTGGTTCTATTTTACTGGTTACTAATTATATGACTTTGAGAAAGTTGCTTAATCTCTTTAAGACTCCGTTCCCTTATCTGTAAAGTGGAGATATTACAGTATCTCTATCATAGAGTGGTTCCAAGGAATATTTAAGATAACATATATACTCCTTAGCCACTGTTTAGGAAACATAATAAATGCTTATTAGATGCTGACTATTATTATTATTCTGATAATTCTGTTTGATGCTTTTCTCACTATACCATGATGCTTCTAGTTAATCATTTTCATCTATATAACCTTCTAGAATTATCCTTGTCTTAATATTTTTTATTCTTTGAATATAACACTAACTTTTTAAAAAAAATATACCAATATAGCCATGTGTTGTTTGCATTTCAGACTTCAGCACATGCTTAATATACACCTAGATTTTAGGCCTATTTTAAACGGATTCTCCATCAAGCCCTGCGTAGTATCTTGCCTATATTTAGTCCAGGGAAAAAGTAGTGGTTGAATTGTTTCTATTGATGTGAATGCTTGGTGGAGGAGGTAGCTTTGAGCACCCCCTGAAGTATCATGGATGGAGTGACCCTAAGGTGGAACGGGTACGGGAGCTAAGTCATAGTAGCTGGAAGCACAATTGTTCAGGACATATGCACTGAATTAAAAATGCCTGAATGAGATTGTGGCAGTAGGAATGGAAACCTGAAGCATTTTAGAAACTTGGCCTCATATTTGTGGTATTTAACAAGGTCCCTAGTACTTGGAGATTTGGGGCATGAGACACCAAACTGCTGAATATAACCATATTTTCAAGAGTTTGAGATGATAGTCTAGTATGTTGATCATACTTATGATTTTAAAGGGAAGGAAACAAAGTTTACGTTTTTTTTTTTTTTTTAATGTGGGAGCATGAAATAAAACACCCACCTTGTCATAGGTTTTGCTGAGATCATTATGTTTACATTATCTGTCACTAGATGGAGTCCATGAGCCCAGGGAAGTCTTGGTTGGACTTTTCTATATACCTCTTCCTGCAATTCCTGGATTCCTGTTCTGTGCCTTTGAAAGGGAGAAAAGATACTTTTTTAAAAAAGTATTTTTTTTGACAAATGGATTGAATAGTAGAATTTTTATATTTGCCTTTAAAAAATTATCAGTGTTTTGCCTTTTAAAAAATCATCAAAATAATTTTTTCCAATTCTTCATGTTCTTGCCCTCCAATTTTTTTTTTTTTGAAAAGATCTTTAAAACCACAATTTAATATCAGTTCTAAATATTTCTGGTGTTAACTGTTCTTTTAAAAATATATTTGTATTGATTTCAGAGAGGAGGGGAGAGGGAGAGAGAGAGGCAGAAACATCAATGATGAGAGAGAATCATTAATCCGCTGCCTTCTGCATGCCCCACACAAGGGATTGAGACCACAACCCGGGCATGTGCCCTGACTGGGAATCGAATCATGACTTTCTGGTTCATAGTTTGGTGCTCAACCACTGAGCTTTGTTTTAAATATTCATAAGACATTGAAGCTTGCAACAGACTAATGTATTTCAGAAGGAAGGGAGAGGGGCAGGAAGTGATCAACCAAAGAACTTATATGAATATATACGTAGCCCATGGACAGACAATAGTGTGGGGAAGGCCTGGGGAGGAAATGGGAACGGGGAGGAGAGGGTCAATGCGGGTGGGGGGGAAGAAAGGGGACATCTGTAATACTTTCAACAATAAAGATAAATTTTAAAAAATATTCATAAGAACAATTATTGCACTGCTTACTAAGTGTCAGTTTTTAAAACAGCACAGCACATACCTGTATTTCCAAAACCTTACATGGTGTCAGGCAACATGAGAGAAAGGACCAGATAAGTAATTTTTCTTTATCAAGGCAAACTGCGAGCCACATGCGGCTCTTTGTCCCCTTGAGTGTGGCTCTTCCTAAGCCTTAGGAGTACCCTAATTAAGTTAATAACAATGTACCTACCTATATAGTTTAAGTTTAAAAAATTTGGCTCTCAAAAGAAATTTCAATCGTTGTACTGTTGATATTTGGCTCTGTTGACTAATGAGTTTGCCGACCACTGGTCTAGTGAGTCACCTGCTTATTACTTTGCCATTTGTTTTCTGTCAGGGCTAAGCAGTAGTAAAAGAGCAAATGAATACATGACCTGGTAGCAGAAAGTTATCTTGGGAACCTTCCAGAGGATGCAGTTAAACTTGATCAATTAGTCTATATGCGAGTCAACATGTGGGCAAGGCATGATCTAATTCCTTTTTTGTCTTTCTGCCGCAGCACGTGTCCCTATAGTCGGCCTCCCTTTGGCTATGGAAATTTTCCAAGTTCAATGCCAGAATGCCTTGGTTATTATGAAGACAGGTACCAAAAACATGAGGCTATGTTTTCAGCTTTAAATAGAGACTATCCTTTCAGAGACTACCCAGAGGAACGCACACACAGTGAAGATTCTCGGAGTTGTGAGAGCATGGATGGGACCTCTTACTATAACAGTCACAGTCACAGTGGGGAAGAATTCCTAAATCCCATGCCTCAGCTCGACATTGGAGTCTTGGAGAATGTCTTAACAGCTCCTACATCAACTCCCTCTAGCATCCAGCAAGTCAATGTCACTGATAGTGATGAGGAGAAAGAAGAAAAAGTGCTTAGGAATTTATAATTTTAAAACAAATATGCACAGAAAATAAACATTTCTTAAAATATATTCTGGGTCAGTTGGTGTGAGAGAAAAAAGCCTAGAATGCTGTGTTGAGAGTTTTCAGCCATGATTTGAGGAGTCAAACCAAATGCAATTTATGCCTTCATAACATTTTTATTAGTGAAACTGGAGTCCTGATGTTTCATCGTATGAATATTTAAGATACAAAATAGTTTATTTTTATGGAAGAAATTTGCATCAACATATATTTTCATCACTTTATCTTGGAATGTGCAAAATACCAAATCTTCACAATTATATGTGAGGGAAAAAGGAGTATGACATGACAAGCGTGATTTGTATTTTATTTCAGGATACATTATTTATTTTTATTATATGATTCTTTGTTTGGTCTTTATGTAATATTTATGGATGTCAATTTTAATGTAACATTTTGAAAATATTTTGATAACTTTTATTAGTGAATTGGGACTGTTACTAAATTTAATTTATACTGATAACCAAGTATAACTTTCAAATGTGTTTTAATGTCACCTGGGTAATTCCTTCAGCTAAATTAGTCATTTCTGTTTCTAAACATTTTCATCATCTTTTTTGGATATCTTTTTCCATTTGGTATTCATTGTTCTACTTTTGTTATAATTAAATAAATGTAGATGAAATTGTTCTTGTTGGATGTTTTCTGTTTGGGGGATAGAACTGAGCAAAATGAGTACTCTTCAAATGAGGATGGTTCCCATACCATATAGATAATTGCTTTTACTTTATAGCCTCCAGAATTATAGATTCTATTAGCTCACATGAGATCCAAACTCTATTAACAAAGATGCTGTGCACATATTCCAATGCCACTTCCAAACTCTTTATACACGTATAGATGTGACTTAAGCACTCCCCAAAGTGGAAGGGCTCTTCCAGATTTGGTTCAAGCAGCTGTCTTTAAAACCATGGCATTCAAGTAGGAGCACGTTGGAATTTGTTTAACTCACAAAGAGCAAAAAAATCCTACTTGCAATGTGACTTCTTGGTAAGTGCCCACTTATGGATGGAGAGAACCTTTTTAGAAGATCAGATCACCAGAGATGGGATCATCTACATGGCACAGTGAATTGATGACCAGAAATAAACATAAAGCAATAGCTTTTCCCTCAATGATCTGTATAACATGCAAATTGGGATCTTGTTACTTAGACCTGCTTGGAAATTGTGTATGGAAACCTGTTCTAAGCTTTTAACTTCTTCCTTTGCAAATTATTGTAATACATTTCATCAGCCCTATACTTAATTGTACCTAATATTTCCTCTTCTCAAAAAAAATTTTATTTTTATATCTTATATACTTAAATTACTTTATGCAATGTTGTTTCAATGTGGTTAAAGAGCAAACTTGAATATTTTGATAGAGAGCAAATGTAACTTGGCATCGGAACTAAAGCAACGTTTGTCTTCACACTTGATGTCTACACCATAAAGGAAAAATGTATTCAACAATTTGACCCCATCTCATTTTAATAGCACTTTAGTGACTAAATTGGCTTTTGATCACAGACCTTAAGACAATTGGTTAGGGGCATCCCTGTATAAGAAATGATATTGTAGAACATGGTTCAGTGTTTCCTAACTACTTGTCTTCAGGCTAGCCCTGCGCCACCAATTTCAAACCCAGCTTTCTTAATGTCTCTTATGGCTTGGCAACTCTTTAATCCTCCTCCTCTTCCTCAGTGCTGGGATCAGAAGTCAGAAGTTTCAATTGTTTACAGACCCACCGTATAATTTGGGCTGGGAAATATGGGCAACTCTTAGGTTGAAAAGCACCCCATTGCAGATCAGCAAGCCTAGCTACAACTGCCCCTATCTGCTCATCTATAGTTCCTCAAACCACTGTTGGCTCTGACTAGAGGTCCACAGTCTAAACCAGCCATGGGTAAACTATGGCCTGCGGGCCGGATCCGGCCCGTTTGAAATGAATAAAACTAAAAAAAAAAAAGACCGTACCCTTTTATGTAATGATGTTTACTTTGAATTTATATTAGTTCACACAAACACTCCATCCATGCTTTTGTTCCTGCCCTCCGGTCCAGTTTAAGAACCCATTGTGGCCCTCGAGTCAAAAAGTTTGCCTACCCCTGGAACAAAGCCCTGCCTCATTAGCACTAATTCATCTGCCTCTCCAAGTCATCGAAGTGAAATTCTTTAACCTTAAGGCCACAATCACTTTCATTGCCTTGTTTGTTCTTTTTTTAAATTATTTTTTAAATTTTTATTGTTTTAAAAAAATCTTAATTGCTGAGATTATTACAGATGTCCCTCTTTTTTCTCCCCATTGCCCCCCTCTACCCAGTTCCCACCCCACCCCAGGCCTTTGCCATCCTATTGTCTGTGTCCATAGGTAATGCATATATGCATATAAAATCTTTGTTTAACATCTTCCCACCTCCCCACCCCCTTCCCTCTGAGAATCATGTCTCTTCTATTTCCATGCCTCTGATTCCATTTTATTCACCAATTTATTCTATTCATTAGATTTCTTATTTGTTTATTTTGATTTTTAGATTCAATTGTTGATAAGTATGTATTTGTTGCTATTTTGTTTATATTTTATATCTTTTTCTTTTTCTTCTCCTTCCTCTTCTTAAAGAATACCCTTCAACAACATTTCATATAATACTGGTTTGGTGGTGATGAACTCTAGCTCTTTCTTATCTGTGAAGCTCTTTATCTGACCTTCAATTCTAAATGATAGCTTTGCTGGGTAGAGTAATCTTGGTTGTAGGTCCTTGCTATTCATCACTTTGATATTTCTTGTCACTCCCTTCTGGACTACTTCGCTTCTGTTGAAAAATCAGCTGACAGTTGTATGGACATTCCCTAGTAAGTAACTAACTGCTTTCCTCTTGCTGCTTTTCTTTTTTAAAAAAATATATATTTCATTGATTTTTTACAGAGAGGAAGAGAGAGGGATAGAGAGTTAGAAACATCAATGAGAGAGAAACATCGATCAGCTGCCTCCTACACACCTCCTACTGGGGATGTGCCCGCAACCAAGGTACATGCCCCTGGCCAGAATCGAACCTGGGACCCTTCAGTCCACAGGCCGATGCTCCATCCACTGAGCCAAACCAGCCAGGGCTCCTCTTGCTGCTTTTAAGATTCTCTCTTTGTCTTTAGCCCTTGGCATTTAAATTATGTTGTGTCTTGGTGTTGCCCTCTTTGGGTTCCTCTTGTTTGGGACTCTCTGTGCTTCCTGGACTTGTAAGTCTATTTCTTTCACCAGGTAGGGGAAGTTTTTTGTCATTATTTCTTCAAATAGGTTTTCAAAATGTTGCTCTCTCTCTTCTTCTGGCACCCCCATAATGTGAGTGTTGGTACACTTGAAGTTGTCCCAGAGGCTCCTTACACTACCATATTTTTTTATTCTTTTTTCTCTTTGCTCTTCTGGTTGGGTGTTTTTTGCTTCCTCATATTTCAAATCATTGTTTTGATTCTCAGAATCCTCTACTGTTGAATTCCTATATATTAATATTTCAGTCAGTGTATGCTTAATTTCTGACTGATCCTTTTCCATTTTTTTGGAGGTTTCTAGAAGATTCTTGAGTAATCTTATAACCTTAAAACTGTATTTGTTTCTATGTATTGGTAGAGCTGCTATGTCTCCCTGAGTTGATAGAGTGGCCTTATGTAGTAGTGTTCTGTAGGGCCCAGTGGCTCAGCCTCCCCAGTCACCTGAGCTGGGAGCTCTAGGTGAAACCCCTTGTGGGCTGTGAGCACAGTCTTGTTGTAGTTGAGGCTTGATTGCTGTTGGTGTTACTGGGAGGAATTGACTTCCAGGCCAATTGGCTGTGAGGACCAGCTGCAACTACAGTGGGAGAGCTGCTGTGCAGGAGACACCCCTATGAAGTAGGATTTGGTTCAGTGGGGCTTTGGTGGTCACTGAGTCTACCCCTTGAGTGTGTCACTTATGTATGTGTAGAGTTGTAATCTGGTATGTGTCGGAGACCACCTATCGTCTTCACTAGCAGAGAAGTGTAGAGACCCCCAAAGTCTGGTGACCTTTGAAGCCCTAGCAAAGGTCGGAGCTGTGCTCCACCAAGTTAATCTAGATAATGGTAGCTGAAGCATCCTCCCCACCTTAATTCACTTAATTCCTTAGATACTCATGTAAATCCTTGTTGATTAGATATTCTGCTTATTACTGGAAATTGTCTGCTGATGAACTAATCTGTGTGTCATTGAAACCTCCTCACCTAAGGGCTACCCCAGATCAAATAAAAGCTTGGTGAGGCCTGAGCACCAGTGGAAGTCCCTCTCCTTGAGTTGGACTTGCCTGCCTGGTCCCCCAATATTTCCAAATTATCTCATGTCTCTTTTCTTTCATTTGTGTGCGGCTCCTCTTCCAGACCCCAAACCCTGAACCATGCAGAACGTGGAGGGAAACACACTCAACAGGTATAGTCTGACACTGACCACTGGGTACACTGGCTCTTGGGTCTTCAGGGAGGTGCAAAGTCAGCCACTGCCTGGGACCACACAGCAGGAGTGACAGAGAGATCTTCAGATTTCTCCTCTTTGTATCAGGTTTTGAAGTGCCCAGATGAGGCTCAGCTATGAAGCAAAGCAGGCTGGTGCTGTTGCCGGGTCTTGGGCCTTTTATTGATAGGTTTGGAGCTCCCTGACCCAGATGCAGCTTGTTTGAGAGATTTAAGCCTGATCAAAGACAGGTCATTAATTTGCAAAAGCCTCTGCACACAGCTTGGTTAGGGTTGTAAATTGGAAGAGGCAGGGTCTTACTGAATCACCAGGGAGGAGAAAACAGAAATGGCTGCTAGTAAGCCGTGAGGTCTCAGTACAGGAACAATGATCCCTGTGAGCTCTTCTGTCTGGGAGAAAGTCGCCCCCAAGTTCCTACCCTGATGCCAAATGATGCAATTCCTCTTCGTATGTGTCTGTATCCCCTAGAGCCTCACCCTGGTGCTGGAACTCAGAGGAAGCAGGACCTTGTA